ACAGTTATCGCGATGCGTCGTTAAAACGATTGTCATCGAAACACTGGGTCGGGAAAAAGGAAACTGCAATGAAAATAAGTAGGTGGTCTTTGTTATTATTAACATTAGATAATATTACAATTAATATGTACATGTATACAATCGCTATACAGATTTGCGCCAATTTTTGGCACCATTTCATAGTGAGAGTACTGCCCTCCAATATACAAAACGTACCGCGACGGTCGAACGATAAACGCGTCGAAATTCTTGATAATTTTTGCGAAAAATATAACAGGCATGGAGGGCGCGCGCGCGTCCTAAAAATAAATAAATAACAGGGGGCTTTCGCCTACGGTGTTCTCGGCTTGTCGGGCGACCGTCACGGCGCAGACTAATTTTACGTACACTGTGCAATATAAGCGAAACCGAACTAGTAGCCCGATTTTTACGTGCGGGTTCCTTTTGGGATACCATCATATTGATCCCTTCATGCGAGAATGAACTCCTCCCGAATTTAATTAAATTTTAGTACGTTTCTTTTTAATGTCCGATCTGTTTTAAGTTTTCACGTCTTGTTTGATAGGTAACACCATTTGAAAAAGAAAAAACTATTTATTAACCAAAATAATATAAAATAATAAAAAGTATATTAAATGTTCAACAAGCTATTGTTGCTACTTTGTAAAACGTGTTCGTTTTCCGTTTCAATTTTTTTAGGTACGAATTTTTCTAACCCAAAAATTATTATTGACCCGAATATCATCATTCAACATTTTTTATTGTTTTTTCTACAATTCAACAAAATCTAGTAATTGTGTGCATTAAAAAAGCTAAGTGTTACGCTTTAATGTTAAAAGTTGTGCCTAGATAATTTGATTGTTATTATTTTTAAAAGTAATTAATAACTAAATAGATACATTTTATCAAATTGTTTGGGCCTAGTATAATATTTTTAAACCTTTTTTTAACCCACCCCGTAGTAAAAATAAAATCACCAGATAACGGCTTTTAACATTAAACCGTAATGGTAAAACACACACAATTAATAGACCTTGTTCATTTTTAAAACAAAACGATTAAAAAGTTAAAAATTCCTACCTTAAAAAGTAGAAACGAAAAACGAACAAATTCTACTCACCTAGTATATTCTTTATTCAACGCATTAAAATTGTACTTCTTGTACTGCAACTTGCATAAAAAGTAAAAGGCTCTCGACAGCTTGCCGAATACATGTTTACCATAATTTTTTAATACAACTTTGTGTAATTCTCCTTGATAAGGGGGTATCCTTAAAACAGTATTTCTAATTGACAGCCAATATCTCAGAAAGAAGCTGAATATAAATCGGACATTTTAAAAAAATTAGTGGTACTATAGCGTACTAGTATTTCATTCAATTCGGGTGAAGTTCATTATCCCATTGTGCGGACAGAACGAATGAAAACTAATTTTAAAAAAAGGAACAGCGAATGAATAATTTCGGTAAACGATGGAGGCCGAGTTTTGTTTCGTATAAAGTAAAACGCCAAAATTTGTTCCGCGACGTTTGATGAAATCCCGTTAGAAAAGTTAACGTATACAAGTTTAACGTAAAGAGGTGTTTGATTTATTAGAAATGTACAATTTACGAAAACAAAAAGTACAATACTTTCGCCAAGTGATAAGAGGTTTCAACGAATCCTGAGTTAAGTTTAATGAAAGAGTTGACAGTATATAAAAATGAATCGTGTGGCGCGCACCAATACGACTCTAACGGTTTAAATTTTACCAGTCGTTTGCTTTATTTAAGGATTAACGACATAGCAAATCGAGGGGTCAACCAGAGAGGAATTATTGTGTATATGGTCGATCGGATAATACCTGAAAAAATCTGAAAGATATCCGAAAAACTTAAAAACCAAAGGTATTTGGATCCACTTATATTTTAAAATTTTATATTGTTACAGTAAATAAGGAAAGCCGGTTCAAAAACAGGGATTCCTTATATAACCATAAAACTTAAAACTGCAGGGAGGGACCCGGACACGCGGATTTAAGGTTTGAGGTTATGTAAGGAATTCTGCTCTGAAACCGGCTTTGCTTATCTACTGCTGATGTTTCCATTTTCGTGGACAAGTAACAACTATCGCATTTTAAATATCATTGATTTGTTGCATGGGCATATACAGTGTTTTAGTCAGCTCATGCAATTTGTAGTGTCTCATCGAATTGTAATTCTGGTTAGTTACTTACCTAGTTTACTAACAGAGCTATTTTTAGAATTTCCCTGTTTCCTTATTTTTTTTATATATAATATATATATAAATATATATAATATAACCAATATGACTTTCTTATAGATGGGGGATTTCCTTAAGTGGTATGTGTTAATATTTTTAAATCAATATATATATATATATATATATATATATATATATATATATATATATATATATATATATATATATATATATATATATATATATATATATATATATATATATATATATATATATATATATATATATATATATATATATATATATATATATATATATATATATATATATATATATATATATATATATATATATATATATATATACAACTGACATAAATTTAACTAAAAAAATCATTTTTTTTAGTAAAAAATTGTAGCTTTCGAAATAAAACGGTTAGCATTGTAAAAATTGTAAACTCCTTTTATGTTGTGCTAGTCATTGGTTATGACGATGGCGAAACATGGAAAAAAACAAATTATCAACGTTTGGCAGCTTTATGAAACGTAATTTGTTCATTTTTTATTGTTGTTGTTAAAAGTAATAAATAAAGCACAAAACAGTAATAGCAAATAAAACAAAGATCATTTATTGAGATTTTTTCTTTTATTAAATGACTAAAGGGTTAAATTCTTCCATTATTCGTTTAACACTGTTTTGAGATTTTATGCATATTTTTCATCAAAATTCTCGATTCTTAGAAGTTAAATAAATTTAAATAAATTTTCTATTACTAATTTCACTGTCAAATGACAGTAAATAGTAGGTAGGTGATATATCTGCAGTGCTCGATTGTTTAAAAATAGACAATTTTTTCAAATAGGCAATCTTATATTATATTAAATGATAAATAGTTTAAAAGTACCATGAAAATGAGCTGCTTATATTTGACCACCTTATATTTATTTAATTTCATAATATGAACACAGACCACTAAAGTAGATATCCTTCGATGAGCAAACTAATCAATATATATCACAACGTCACATTTGACATAAAATTAAAAATAAAACATCTCAAAAAGTTGGGTGCTGGACTTTTTATATTCCCGAATCCCATGAAAATACCAGCTTTGATGAAATTCCAATAGAGGGTCAAATAACTAACACTTTGGTGAAAATCGTACACAAAAACTTCAAATATAATGATATATCCATTTAAAATAAGAAAGTTGTTGGTTGTCCAAGAAAATCCAAGAATCCTAACCAAAACTAACAATACCATATTTTAAAAGTATAACTTTTCGAGACGACTTTTCTGTGGAAATATAGAAAACTTTAAGGAAATGCGGAGTATATATTGCCCTCTGCAGTTGGCCCCTCGCAGAAAACGACACGAGAGAGCTTCGTATAGGGGGCGCGCGCAACACTCATCCAAACGCGATCGCGCACAATGAACGGCACAGATTACACACCTCGATAAAAATTTGAACATTAACAACTTTTATACATATAAAAAATTAAATAGCGGGGCCTATCGGTATACTATAACAAAATATATATTCGACGCTTTTTAAATTAACAATAAATAAGTTAGGGCGAGACTCGTCGCGGGACGCGTCGTTGGCCCGCCCCCCACAAGGGGACGGGTCGGCGCAGCGCCCGTCGCTGTCGTGGAAAATAATTTCAATGGAAGTATAGACGTACACGACCGTAGTGCACAGGCGCGGGGGCGCACTCGCGTCACGGGGGCGTTGGACTAGATAATACTGGAGACCGCACGCGCGGCCGGCCTTGGGTCGCTATCCTTGAACTTTAGGGAATAGAAATGTTTTGTGGGCAAATAGCCAAAAGTGTGCCTGTTTCCCTAAAATGTTAAACTCCCTAGGGATAGGTCTGTTCTATCCGTCACGAATCTTAAAGATGGGGAATAAATCGAAATAATGATGGGGGACCCTAACCAACTTCCACACTGGTAACATATTATCAATGCCGAGAGGAGGCTCTGGAGGATTGAGATTAGAAGAGATGCGTGTATTCAAACGGATCCCTTTCAGGTTTCGAACAGTTAATTTATTCAGCTATTTAGACCAAAGATCGTGGATACAAATCTAGTTATGTCAATGTCAATGATGTTAATTTTTCAAAGAAACTTCCACGTCGAACTTGCTAACGTTTCGCCAATCACCCTGTTGGCTTTTTCAGAGCTTAACTGAAACTGTCTCAGTTTCAATTTCAGAAGCCAACAGAATGATTGGCGAAAACTTACCAAGTTCGACTTAACAACAGAAGGTTTGTAAATAGTGTCAACGACGTTGTTACGTTGTCGTTACCACCTTCATTTTTAAAATCGGTTTAAATTAGCTTAGTAGTAGATATATTTAGTGTAGTGATAGTATTTAGTGTATAATTTGATGTTGGTCTCCATGTTTTAATTGCAAGAGACTTGCAGCATGTCAAGGAACATGCAAAATTTATTTATTTATTGCGGGTAAGATTTTTGAGGTTATACGAAATCATCAGATCTTTTTGTTTAGCGTTAACCTTTATTGTATTCTCGAAATAAAACAAATCTATACACGAAAGATCTGATATCACAAAAGTGTAGAGATTCAAACACGCTTACAAGTCCGATCCTTGATTGCGTTTATGCTGTTTTCAATTTTAAGTCTACATTAATTTTTGATCTATATATATATATATATATATATATATATATATATATATATATATATATATATATATATATATATATATATATATATATATATATATATATATATATATATATATATATATATATATATATATATATATATATATATATATATATATATATATATATATATATATAAACTGTAGGTCACCAGTTTTAACATTTTTTACTTCGTTTTTTAAATCTGGGTATATTGCTATATTTGCTAAATTCATGTAAATTATTTTATTCTTTTAAAAATTTCTTTCATTAGGTCTGATAATGTCTTGTCTGAGTTCTTAACTTGGGAGTGTGTTTGAAATTTAATAGCTTTTCGTGTATTCATTTGATTAGGGTTGATACTAAATACTAGGGATTTTCGAAAGTATGATAATGAAATGTCATAGTGACACTACTAATTGGATTATTATTCTCCGTTGTAATTCAATTAAAAATGATGTAGTAAAACAGTACACGTGTTTTTTTTTTGTCAAGTGATCATCAAAATCTAAATATAAGGGGGGGGGGATAAAATTACCGACGTTCATTGGGGTAAATGCTGTTGAGAAATTTGGAAACGTAGAATCCTTTCTGTCTGTTTCATTTCTAGAGTAATTTTTGGGGAATACAAGGTTTAGCGCTTTTCAAGGATAGCTACAGGCACGGCCGACCGCTACAACATTATCATGAATATTATGTACACAGAATAATAAATTAAGAGGGCGCGGCGGCCCTAAAAGTCAGCGTCCAGCAACCGCTTGTTGGGCGGGCGCCGCGAGGCGGCTGCGGCGGCTGAGGCGTGGGGCGGCTGCCGACACCGGCAGCCCTGCCGCGAATGTCGCGCGTAACACAGTTCGACCGCGCGTTTCCCGCCGCGCAGCGGCCAGTAGAGCCACAGACAAGGCAGGACGCAAGCCAGTGCGGCCAGACAACCCCAGCGAGCGACGCGTCGGTCCGGTGCGCAGCCGCAGGGCGCGTCCGCGCAGCCCCCGTCCTGTCCGTCCGCGTCCGAACAATGGTAAAACAATCCCTTGACACAGCACAAACATGACGCGTAATCGACGACCGTGTCGGCGGATAGGAGGCAACCGCCGTTGCACACCCACCGCTGGGGCAGCGGCCGCGGCTGCTGACACGACTCGCAACGACAACGTCCGCACTCGGGGCACATGATTGAGGGGCGGGCGGCGCACTCGCCGCCGCCCCCGTTCGACGCTTTACCGAAACTGAGGGTCGGCTGGTGTTTGACGACGGCGGGCGGCGCCGGCGGCCGGTGATGCGGTCTCGGCGGCGGCGGCGGAGGCGGGGGCGGAGCGATCGGCGTCCGGAACGGGGCCTCCACGTACTCGTTGCCGGAGCGCTCATTCTCTGGCCGCGGGGCCGTCAACGACACGACGGGGGCGGAGGCGGCGACCACGGTTAGCGGTCGCAGCAACGGGGCGAGGGGCGCGGTCAGCGGTGCGGGGGCGCTCATGACCGGCGCCTGCGGACGGTGGGCGCCGCGCGGCGGCTTCGCTTCGGGACCTCCATGCTGATGATCCATGCCAGGCCCTGATGGGCTTAGCGGCACGTTGCGGCGGCGGCGGCGGCGGCGGCGGTCCGGCCGGCGTGGCCGAGCGAGGCCGTCATCGCTTCTGCACGCTTCTGCAACACGAACGACACGAGAGTTAAAGTTCGCACAATTAATTACACAGGTCTACAAAATTAAACTTTTTGACAGGTGCTTTTATTTTGAAAACTGATTTTATATAAATATAATTTTTTTTTTATTTGTATCACGTAAAGCGTTCAAAGTGTTTTCGGAGCGCGAGCATTGAAAATGCCAAGTGAGATCTTGGCGAAACGTCTGCAGGATTCCAGTCGGAGTTCAATATATATGTTAACTTAAGGGATGGTGTAAGGGTTTCAACCCTGAATAAAACTCTCCCCAAAAACCAAAGCATTGTTCTATTGGAGCACCTATTACAACATTGCCCTTCGGCTCTTCGGTCTATGTCGTACTGCCGTTTGTTCTTGCGTAGCCGGAACAGCATGCCGCTCGTCGGTCCTGACTCAGCTTACGTGACTTTTGGTTAGTTAGGCCATATAAAAGATATCGCTAGCATATATATATATATATATATATATATATATATATATATATATATATATATATATATATATATATATATATATATATATATATATATATATATATATATATATATATATATATATATTGTTTTAATTTTTATTGTATGCACAAAGTTTAATGACAATGGTTTACTTAAAAAATTATCATAATTTTTTCATAAAGATTCGCCTACTTAAATATTCGCATAACATTAAAGAACACCTGATCTATTACTAAGACGTTACTAGTTAAATTATTAACTGTCAAGTACAACTGATTCTGTTTCCCTTACTCCCAATTAATATAATCGTGATCGTTAGTGACCAGATAGACATTTCGTGCGGAACAACATCTGTTGAAGAGAAGCAGGCTTAACAATCTACTTTATTCTGTCTGGCATTTTATTGCCGACGGTGCCATCACAAATCGTACCGACTATACGAGAGTACGCTGCAGGAAGCTCAGCGCAAGATCGAAGAGGGTTAATATCATGGAATTTATTTATTTTTTGTAGCCCACTTTATAAAGGATCGGACCAAATAATGAAAATTTCATTTTAAAAATTTTAATTCCCTATATTGATGCGCTTCGGCTTATACACTATGTCTGAAATAAGTGGTGCCGTTTTGGCGAATTCAATTAACACAATCTCAAGATTTTCAAATGGAACGCACTATATTTTTATTCAGATATGAATTCTAGGACAAAAAATAAGGTAAGTTTGTAATTTATCTTATATTTAATTTTACTTACTCTTTGAGATATTCGTATAGATTCTTGTTGAATTTAAAGCTGCCCACATTAGGTCGCTTGTCAATATAGGTCAATATTAGATATTTTTTTAATAGCAAAAACATCATACTACTTCTTTTAAAGATATAATTCTCCATACTTTTTAAATAGAAATATGAAAAACAAAAACAAACAGAAATATGAAAGTTTATTTTATACCTTAATTTGCAAAAAAAAATTGTGATGTCATCGCCAACTACATTTTAAAATATTTTGATATTTCTTTGTTTTTTTGCTGCCAGATAAAACGAGCATTTGAAGAGAAACTTTTTAACTAAACTTTATGGATCGAATTAACAAACTCTTTTTAGTTCACTTCTTGTTTTATAAATTTATTTATTCAAATTTCTTACCTTGTTTAGTTAGCCTATAAGTTATAATTATTTACTTTTGTTATTAGCAATTTTCAAAAAATTTTGTTAATTTAATTCGCCAAAACGGCACCACCTATTTGGGACACCCTGTATAAGCTAAGGTTCATCTGTGGAACTGATTGAGTAGTGTATCATCTCCTTAGTCTGTGGTTAAATTTTCGTAGTGTCGCGTCACAGTACAATTTTATATTTATAAATCAAATATGAAAAACAAAAAACATAACCGCAACTAAACTATGCAAAATTCGAGGAGGAATTTCATAAGAAAGTGATCTTTATTTCAACCAAGGATTTCTAAAATGCCGAAATACATAGGATGTTTCATTTAAAATAACAAAGTTGAAGCCGTGGGGGACACTTTTGAGATATCCTGTATTTTAAATCTTCAGAAGAGTCCAAGAAACTTTTGCGCGAAACTTTTTTCGTATCTCCTATGGGTTTCCAGATTGTATAGTGGATTATTTTATTTGGCGCACGGTGTACAACCAGCTTTTTAGCACTGGGACAGTCTTTTTTTGGGGTGGGAGGGGGGTGTATAAATTATTCCATAAAACAACTACAAACAGTTTTTCAGCGTGAATGTGCAGCGTAACTCACAACTTTCGCTTCTGTTGGGTTGTGGTATTAAGTCCTCACAGCTCCCGGTCTATATTGTTGCCTAGAGGAGGCGTCCGGCTAATTAGTATTACCGTCTTCGTCTTTCTCTCGGAAATTTTTCGTTTAGATTGGTAGGCGACATTCGACGTTCTAATAGGAATGTTATCAACCTCCGCGTAATATTCCGCCCATGTCTATCGACCGTAGCAAATAGATCGGCCGCCCACGCAAACTGGCACGGGCGAGGAGACGCCTTAACAGATTATATATCGAACGCACCTGACTCGGAGGTGGGCGTAACGAGAAACGCGAAATCGATCTTGAGCAATAACGTCATTGAATTATAAATTATTTCGTAGAAAATCGACGCAACGTACCACCACCCTTAAAGTTTCTAACGTGGGTAGGGACACGAAAATAGTAAATAGTATCGATACCAAATCAATACTTTCTTGCGAAATCTCCATTCCAACCGATATTTGTTGAAAACGTATCGATATCATACATACATACACATTTAGTGTGTTAAGTTATGTCGATGGACAAATCAAAATCCACAACTGGTACGCCAGATTTCACACAACCATAGGATTTCACAGATTTTACGGATTTCACAAAGTTGGAATGAATTTCAAATTTGACGAATTTCAGACAATTTATCCTTCCTTATTCAACGAAATTTGTTTTTTTTTAATTCCTCCAAAACAAATAATGAATCTTTATGGAATAATACTACTTGATTATCAGGTTCTTCTCAGTTATAAAACTAAAATTAGAAGTAAACAAAATAAAAATCTAGTTATGTCTTATGTGGAGTCGAGTTTTCAACTCACCTTGCATATCTCTTGGAGCCCAGTGTATTTTTGTCAGACGATATAGTTAATATAATCATCAATTTCTTATAATTATAATTTGGTTATGTCGTTTGACATCTCGCTAGATTTGGATAGTTCGTATTTGTAATGTTTATTAATCGACAGGCAAAGTGAAGCAAAGGGGTAAGGTTGGTTATTGGTGTCATCACGATTTAACTAGTGGTTAACTAAAAGTTGTAGTTTTATCATACTTTTAATATCCTATGGTCCCTATCGCATATATCACTCACTTTTCGACTTTGATTTTATCTTTGACCTGACGACAACAGCAGAAGTTCTATCAAGAAAGCGCTGGTGGAAATATTACATTTTCCTATATGGAATTTGTCCTCCTGGATATTTTGAGTACGTTTTGAGCAGTTTAAATCCACAGTGATCTGTTGAGTTGATTAATTTTGGCAATCGTCGTTTTAATCGGATTTCACTTGACTAAACCTCGAAAACTCCAAACCACATTTTCTAGTTTTCGGAATCTAGCGAGGCAATTCCTTACTCTAGGGTTTTTCTTTCTCCGTGCTGTTCTACTTTTGATGATTTCGACACTTTCCGGTTGCTGGTGAGTTGGAGTTTCTATCAGCGTTATGACTTCCAAGTAGATACATATAGAAAGCAGCCAGACATTTGAGAGTGAGATTTTCTTTTGTGTTTGATTTACTTAAAAGTATTGATCTCAAGAATTTCACGTTCAAATAACACCCGAGCTAGCACGGCAAGCTGACTGATTTTGAAAAATAATTAATAAATTTGAAAATTATTAAAAAACTTCAGTTACGTAATTTTCTTTATAGAAAAGGGCATGTTTAAAACATTTAGTAAAGAATTTTGACAATTACAAATTACAATGAAAGCCGGAATTAATACAGACAAAAATTTCACAGGTTTTGCAGAGCACGTACACCAAATTTCACGGGTGATTTTAAGATTGTCAGGAATTGACTTTGAGTTTAGGTGCCACCCGCTGGAATGATGGTTAATACAAAAAAATTATATAAAACATTTTCACTTTGGCTATAGCGCACGATAGACGGAATGGTTGTATAAGCATTTATCTTCGATACTCGATACTGCTACACAAATATCGATTCCAACCCCGGAATCGTACTTAAAGTATCGATACCATCGACACCTCGGTTGTATCGAAGTATCGTTAGCATCCCTTAAAGTGGAGTATCATTTACTTGACAAAGACGACTGCATTGATTACGAATTCCTCGAAAAATGACGCTTCCATATCTGCTTTTTACGCGACGCTAACGTGTTTGGGTCTAGGAAGCGTAGCCGCCGTTGCCCGACTTCCACGAAGCTATATTTATAAAATTCTTAACATTCTTCGGGTTCGGACGGACGACGATATAACCCACACCGAATAATCTTTTGAGCGTTGAATGAACTCTACAAAATAAAATTAAACCAATTTCGTTCGGAAACTTTTGGCGCCCCGAAACATTTAAATGACATCTTACTATTTCTGCATGTACTGAGTTTCCGAGGTTTATGGAAAGTACGGCAAATATGCACTTAACTGTATCCAATCGCTGTGCCGAATTTGACATATAAACTTTCATATTTAAATATCAACTAATGTGAGAATCAGCAGAGTATATGGTTGAGAAGTCCAGTCCATTTCGGAGAAAATGAAGGAGGTGATATTTTGAATTCAGTTGTTCTTACATTAGCGGAGTTTGTTTTTTTATATTTTTTTTGCCTTATCACATTTTAAAAACACCTGTTTTTAACTGTACCCTTATAAAATTGTTCTTTTCGCAAATACTTGTCAAAATATAAGAATGCGTGAGGAAATAAAATTCGCACGTTTGCCGTAAGCAACCTTCTCTTTACGTTGCAGTATGAAATATTCTCAATCAAATTGACCAAGTTTTGTTTAAGTTGAAA